GTTAATTGTCCCTACTATTACTTTGGAGGAAATATTTAGCTGTACAGGGCATATCATCTTTTTGAAACAGGGGTAACTTCTTATGTATTTTGTCCACTTTCAATCTTTTTCCCCTTAGGGAGCCTCCCCAGGCCTTAGTGTCTTAATCTTCACAATGAGAAGGTTGCACTACAAATTCCCCTTTCAGCCCTATGTATGTGATCCTATGATCCTAAGGTCTTAGCAAGTTGACTGACTTACAGATGCAAGATGATTCTGGCTAGCTTGTGCTTAATGCAAAGGAACTTGTCTTGCTTTACATGAACTTAGCCATCAGCTGATATTAGGTTTATTCATTAAATTTTGTTCCTCTTTCTTTAAAAAAAAGTGTAGCTGTGCCCAGAGGCTTTTGTGTCTTTTTTTTAACCATGGGGCACCCTTTGTATATGGAAAGTAATAAATAAATAACTTTAAATGTATGTGTGGAACATAATATAGTTTTAACCTCACTGAGTTTTTATAACCTCTGTTATTGAGAGAAATGTGATATCCGGCTTATTTTAAGCCCCTTTCCACACCTTGCACATGCAAGCATGATGAAATTGGTTCCAGTGTACAGCGTGGAATGTGGTATATGACACACTCCCTGATTTTAATGTAGAAAACAGTTTGGCTATTTAAAAAAACACACCTTTTAATATCCAGTTTCATAAAGTAATGCACTTTCAAATAATTTGCAAACTGCAAGGGCAATTAGAAACGGTCTCTTTACTCCACTGTTCCATGTGTCACAGTCATTAAAGTGCATTGAATAGAAAATGTGCCCAAAAGTATTGGCTTCCATAATATCTAGGAAAACAAAGTCGAAATGATCTCAGCCAGTTGTATGCATTTGACTCTTAGAATAACACATCTGATTAAATGGAGGAGAGGAACACTCTGAGTGTTTTTCCAGGTATTATCCCAGTAGGAATTTTTATTCACTTGAAAAGAAGATGTAACATCACAGAATCACAGAATTTTAAGACATCTCAGAGATAATGCAAGTCAACCCATACCTATATAGAAACTCAAGTTTCTTCTGGTGGATTCAGGAGTTTCATTTCAGAATATAATGTCTACTTCCCTAGAATATGGTTGTTTATCTTAATTAAGGGAACACTGGATAATGATTATGGTAGATCTGAAGTTAGGAAGACCTGAGTTCAAATCCCACTTTTGATATTTACTTTCTGTGTGACCTGAGCAAATCATTTAATCTCTATGTACCTCAACAGTTCATCTGCTAAGTTATAAATGGATTTGATCTGCTTTGGTAGAGAGATTTCTCCAAGTCAATTAACAAACATTTATTAAGTCATTGCTATGTTCCACACACTGTACTAAGTACTGAGGAGACAAAGAAAAGCAAAATAAAAACCAAAACTAAAAACCAGTCTCTGCTTTCAAGGGACTCCCACCATCTAATGGAAATCACAGATAACAATTTTTTTTCCTTTGTAAAATGAGAAGGTTGAACTAGATGACCTTTGAGGCCCTTTCAAATGCAAAATCTATGACTCTATGAGCCTAATGTGGATCTGCGCAATTTTTTAAAAAGTTTTTTTTAATTTCTTTAGTTCTATATTCCATCACCCTGCCTGCATCCCATACTATGGCATGTAAAAGTTAAAAGCAGTATGGCACAGTAGATACAATGCTTTGTTTGGAACCTGGAAGACAAGAATTTAAATCCCACTTCTGACACTTAGTAGCTATGTGACATTGGGTAAACCAATTTTCTGAGTTCCAGTTTTCTTACCTCTAACAGGAAGTTAATAAAACCTGTAATACCTTCTTCATAAGTTTGTTATGAAGTACAAATGAGATAGTATATATAAAGCATTTTGAAAACCTTGAAATAGTATGTAAATTATTTTTCTTACAAATAACACGGTTAACTGTGTTAAGAAATGACTGTTCCATTTGGTGCTTGTAATAAAAATATTTCTTGGGAATGGACAAATACCGTTTACGAATTTACATTTCACCATGAAAAGAGTGGCCTGAACTTGGAATTGAATGGAAATTATTTCACATCCAAGTTCTAAGTAAAAAAAAAAAATGACATCTGTTTATAGTAAAGAAGCTGTTTATTACATAAGAGCCCATTTTAATTCTTCAGTGTTGTCTTCTAATTGGGACAGATAATCTATGTTACCATGGAACTAGGAACTTTATTTACATCTATCTACCAGTAAATGCTGGTGCATTTTGTGAAATCATTTGGAATGAATAAACCATTCGGTCAACTCAGCACAATTATTGATGTCTGTTAAACTGTCTCAAAGCTTTTTTGGTCCAAGAATAGTGAATTGTGTGATAAGAAGACTGTGCTTTTTGAACAGTTGATGGGGGAAAAAATTGATAAAATTGTTGGGGTCTACAAATTCCTTCCACCTGCCTCTGGGCCCCAATTCTAGCTATTTGGGGGGAATCAGAATCCTCTCTTAAACAGTTCACAGCCCCCTACTAATTTGCCTTTCTAGTCTTTGCAAGCATCCTTCACATTTGATTTCAGGATTAGTAAACTTTGGCCTATGCTCAAGTCTAAAAGTTGGTCCTTTAAGGCTTCTGATAGTTTCCTGCCTTTTTTTCTACATCAATAGCCCAACCAATTCTAAATTCAATGTGTTCTTCCCCAAGATGACATGGGTGTGCTGCTGAGCAGGGTCTTAGCTTAACACAGGTGTAGTCCTTCCATCAGGGAAATCTACGCTTTTTCTCAGTATATTTCATTCTTGTTAATCAGTTGTTCCACTCTGTCTCCTGGCAAACTTCCTCCACTTATTAATTCTTCAACCTGTCTAAGCAAGCCCTCTTCTTCAGAGACGGGGTTAGTGATCATTTTCCAAATATTCCCCAAGTGCTTTCTCTCACCAGCCATTTTAGGTTAATCTGGTCTTCAGGAGATTTACAGACGAAAGATAGGGTTTTTGTCTGTGTCTTCTAATCCTTTAGTAAACCAGTCACATCTTCCCAAAGCATCCATAGCCTCTGAAAGAACCTTCTCAAAATCCTTATCTGAGGTCATGATGTACCCCTTTAATAAAACAGCTCTTCCTACAGCTCTTGTTGCATTGCAAAATACTATTTTAATGATTTAACATCAAAAGTTGGTTTTGGCATTATTTTTAACCTTTATCCAATCACCAAACCAATAAACATTAATATTTCAATAGAACCTTGACACAGCATACTGGCTTATAAAATGAAAGAAATTAGTAAGGAGAAGGGGCAGCCAGGTAGTGCAGCAGATAGAGTGCCAGAAAAACTCATCTTCCTGAGTTCAAATCCAGGCTTAGATATTCACTTAACCCTGTTTGTCTCAGTTTCCTCATCTAAAATGAGCTGGAGGGGCAGCTAGGTGGCGCAATGGATAGAGCACCGGCCCTGGATTCAGGAGGACCTGAGTTCAAATCCAGCTTCAGATACATAACATGCACTAGCTGTGTGACTCTGGGCAAGTCACTTAACCCCAATTGCCTCGCCAAAAAAAAAAATGAGCTGGAGAAGGAAATGGCAAACCACTCCAGTATCTTTGCTAAGAAAACTCCAAATGGAGTCACAGAGTTGGACACACTGAAACAGCTAAACAAGAGGAGAGAATTCTGACTCACAAAAAATCAAGAATCTATGCCAGCTCACTGGGGGTAGAGGGAAGTTAGAATGAGAGAGGACTCATGATCTATATTGGGTGTTATTTTTGAAAAGTCTATGGAAAGAAAACAGTAAGATTTTGTCTAGAATAATAATTAAGCTTCCCATAACCTTGTTATTCAGTTGGTGTCTGCTTTGAGAGTTTTTGTAAGTATCAAAGGAGATCATGTGTTTGAAAATAAGTGGAGGGCAAAAGGGGAAAAGAATCTGTTTGTACAAAGATATTTATTTATAGCAGTTCTTTTTGTGGTGGCCAAGAATTTGAAATTGAGGAAATGCCCATCAATCGGGAAATGGCTGAATAAGTTGTGATATATGACGGTAAGAAATGACAAGCAGGATGATTTCAGGAAAACCTGGAAAGACTTGCATGAACTGATGCATAGTGAAGTGAGCAGAACTGTGAAAATGTTGTACACAGTAACAGCAATACTGTACGATGAAGAATTGTGAATGACTTTTTGTCATGTACCCTCTTTGGCAATCTGGTGAACGCTATGGAACTCTTCTCAGAATAATGTTTTTTAAGTGAATAAGAAGTCACTTACTGTTATTTCTTATTGGATTTCATGATCATTATTAGACTTGTCTGGTGCTTTTTCAAAGGATTTTGTTTAGTGCAGGTATGCGGGATCTGGGTATTCTCTGATCAGGCAACCACATTGCCTGGAAGTCAGGACCTCTCTGGTCTGAAGTGAGGGCTCCAATGGAGGAGAGATTCTAGAATGGGGTACATAAGTACTGGAAAGCCATCTACATAAATGTCATAATTAAACCCATGAAAGCTAATGAGCTCATCAGAAGACTATATGTAGAGAGAATATTTTGCTATCCACAATTTCCTTGAAAAGATCACCCAAAATAAAATGGCCAATTTTGATTATATACAATTTAAAGGTTTTACACAAATCTGATGCTATTAAAAATTAGAAGAGAAACAGGTAACTGGGAGAAATCTTTATAGCAAGTTTCTCTTTCTTCCCTCAAAAAAATGGAGAGAATCAGATATCACAGGATGAACAAAAGCTGAGAGCTAAAGCCCTAGGACTTTCAAGACTTTCTTAATTGAGAATGCCTTTCATGATCCCTTGAAATATATGTTAGAAAAGGGTCCTAGACCTAAAGTTCTGTGAGACAACTAGATCAAAGCCTCACACAAGCATAAAGGGGGTAGGAAATCTTTTCAGGCTTTCTTCCCTGTGAGGAACTATATTGATCCAGCAGCATTAATATGCTCTAAGAGATTATAAAGAAGAATAAACATTAATAGCAGTGTTTCTTATTGTGTTCTGTATTCTGTGTTCTCTCTAGATGCTTCTCACCTCTTTATCCATTTGCATTCATCCGTGTATCTGTCTTTATGTATTTTGAAGACCACTCCCAATCAACATACTATTGCTGATGCTGGACCTGAAACAGAAGAGAGGAGGTAGGGCTGAACTGACTCTTGCCCTGTTGTTATTGTTGTTGTTCGTCCTTTATTCTCAAAGAGGACCAATGAAATCTTGGGGTGATGTCTTGAGTGAGTTGGATTTAAGCAAGGCAGAGCTTTGCGAAGTTGTCAGCCTCACTCTCTCCTCCAGAGTCATTGGAGTCTACTGGCAAGACAAGACATAGGTCAAGACAATTAGTGATGGCCTGAGATGCAGTGGATGACCTTGGCCTTTCTAGATGAAGGTCCTTCCCCAGCCTCTTGATGCTCCTTTCAATTACTAAGGGCTAGGTAGAAATTGCGACAAAAGGGAGCCTAATTTACCATCACAAAAATATCAGTCTGGTAGAGGAGAAGACTCTTAAATTTTGACTTTTATTTAAATGCTAGAAGAATCTATAGCCAGGGCCCCAAACATTAAATCCAGCCCAAGCTAGTAGGGGCATAAGTTTCACATAATTTCCGATATTAACCTTGGAATAGCTGTTCTGGATGCCCATGTGTGAGAGGGTAGCATTCCAGGTGGTGCACTAGGGGAAAGAACAAGCCTCTTTATATGGAAAAAGATGGATTATGATTTTTTTCCTTCTTCAATAGCATATTTACCATGTGTCCAATATTTGATTTAGTAACTACTAGCTAATTCTAAAAACATGAGAATATTGTATTAGTATACTATCAAGGGATTGGAGACAGGACAAGGAGCCAAGCTGTGTTTCTAGACTAATTTCACATAATCTGATTCATGTACTCTGTGTTTCAGTCAAATTAGATCATACAATTAACATCACCACACACACACACACACACACACACACACACACACAAACTGTCCTCTACCCTCTGAGATCTCTGTTATCTTTGCTCGTGCTGTTCCCCATATGAATGAGCCTGCAACTGTTGCAGAGTTGATGGGTTAGCTGGAGGTGATGACGCCTACCTTAAGACCACTTGGAGCAATAGCACTATCCAGGATCAGAGAGTGAAAGCCTTTGTAATAAAAAGAACTAAGCTTCTGGGAAACCATTTGAATTTGGACAGTGACAACTCTTGTATTCTCTGCATTTTGGTTCCCTAATCTTTCTGGACACTGATCATCACCGACTTGCCCCCTTGTCTCATCCCCTTGGAAACTGGTACCATAATCACTTTGCTTGCTGACTCAGTGTCGCCTTTTCGATTATATCTTTTCTTATACTTCGACTCCCCATTCCCAGGTAATAATTACCCTTTTCCCTCCCTTGGCTAATGGCATGATATTATGCCTGGAATGGATTTCACTCCCTCTGATTCTCCCTCCTTCTCCCAATACCTGTTGAAAACTTTCCCTTCTCTAAGTACACAATGTAGTGATACTACTTTTCTATGGTGCCTTCTCTCTTCTCTGCAAGTGATCTCTCCTGTCTCATAGTTCTTGAAGCACTTTTTCTTGGCCTCATCTTTGCAATTAGCAGATGTGTCTTGTATCACAGTCATTTGTCTATGTATGCAGTTCTGTGTTTTAGATTATAAAGTTTCCTGAAAATCAGCTTAAGTCTTATTTCATCTTTGAGTCCCTGGCACATAGTACAATTGAACATATCTTAATACTTCTAAGAATCATAATTGCATGTGCTTAAATAAGAATTTCTTAAATTTTGTTTTTTTACAGTATCATTGACTGAGAAGTGGGCTGCGGAGAGTACATTAATAGATATTAGTTTTAGACTATAATTCATTTTATTCCCTAAATAGAAACTTAACCCCCTGAGGATACAGATCGAAAGTGAGAGGCAACTTGGCTGATACCCACAGTGCTCCCTGGTGGCCATCCTTCAATAATTCAAGGAATTGTCCATGTGGCCCATCCCACTATGTACTGACATGGGTAGCTTTTATAGAATGCCTTCTAGAGTCTTTGTGGCTCCAAAGTTTATTACCTTGTAACCATCATGGTGATGAGCCTCTCTGAATTTAGATAGGCTAAATTCTAGATGATAGACAGACACATAAGCCATTGCCAGATCCTCACTGGAAGCCTTTCCAGTTTAGAAGGACCTACTAGAATGTTCTGTTGGCCTGGCCTTTGAGAATCTAGGCTTACCTCCATACTACTATGAGACATCATAATAGAACTTAAGTGAACCAATTTAACCACCTTGCAATTTCTTTCTTCTAGAGAGCAGATAAAATCACAACTCTGTGATTTTATAGGAATAGGGAGCTCCTAGTGAAAAAAAATCCTTTACCAATGAAGATAAGTAATGGTTCTTCAACTCTTAGATAGTTCCCTGAAGCACCAAGAGGTCATGACTTGCGCAGGGTCACACAGCCAGGATTTGTAAGTGATGTAATTCAAACCCAGATATTCTCAACTCTGAGACTAGCTTTATTTGTGATTTAATGCTGCCTTGTCTAGAATAGGTACTTTAAAAATATGAATTAAATTCAACTGAAGTTGGGTGGACATAAATAACTATGATATAAGACTATATCATGTTCCATGAGAAAATAAAACATGTATCTTTATCTAAGCTTTGGCAATTATATTTGTGATGACTGGATTTAGAGGAGTAAATTCACATTCCAGGAAGTTGGCAGTTTATATGACATTGCAATCCTCCAGAGATTTAACAAAACCATAAATAAATTTAAGAAAACAATGGTGAAAGAGTTTACTTAAGTCTTATTTTGTCCAACTCTGGAAGAGGAAGTATTTTCTCTTTCAAAGAGAAGTACATCATACCTTTCTATGATCTGTGATTCTCTCTGCTCTGTCTGTCTCTCTCCCCTTGCTCTCTGTTTATGTATCTCCCTTTCCCCTTCCTATAACATCCCAACATCTCAAACTCCCAGGTTTCATCACCAAGTTCCTATTCGCTGTCTGTAGAAGATACAAGGTGAAATAAGAGATCTGTCACAGAAGGCACAGATCTGTGGTCACATAAACACATAAACACTTTCACTTGCAGTCACACTCTCATTATTTGGTCATTTGAGCCTGCTGATGTAGAGTAAGACAGGAGAGACTCTATTGAATTCTGTCTGCCTGCTCTGTTCATGGTCCACTCTACCAGGAAATGAGTTCCAGATGTGTTCTGGGCTGAGTCTGTAATAGAATCAGATTTGATAAATGTTCCCTCCGGCCTTTAGTTGAATTCTTTATCAGGCTCTTTGGATAATGCTGGAAGAAGAGGATGGGGAAATTCTAAGAATGTACCTCCATGTTGTTTAGAGGTTTCAAATGAGAGAGATCAATGTTCTCAAGACTGCTGGGGTTTTTGTGTGAGTTTTGAGAGTGTGTATGTGTGTGTGTGTGTGTGTGTGTGTGTGTGTGTGTGTGTGTGTGTGTGTGTTTTGTCTGGGGGAGGGGAGGGAAGGGGAGAGGAGGAAAGGAAGAAAAAAAGAGATCCTGTTTCAGCTACAAAGCAAAGGTTTCATATAACCAAAAGACTGACGAAATTGAGGCAAAAATAATTCGCAAAGTCTCACTGCTACCTAGGCAAGCCAATCAAATGAGGAGCAAAGGTCAGTGGCCTATCCCTTAAGTCACCTTGGCTGTGCTTAGATACTATTGGACTGTGAGAGCAGCGTAAGATCCACATGAAGCACATGACATAAGTACTTTGAAAATTTTTACTCAGCAAAGTCTCAGCCAAGATAGTGCCAATCCTAATATTCCAGTTTTTTTCAGACCCTTAATTTTTTTTAAATTTTATCTAGACCTATGATTGCATTGATGCAGGGAACTCCCAGTATTAAAACTCTCTCTCCCAGAGCAGATCAGCAACTATGCTATAATTTATAGTTTTAGTGCACCTGTCATGCCAGAGGTTCAGTGACTTGCCCCATAGTCACATAATTAGGCTATGCCAGAGGCAGGACATGAACCCAGCTCTTCCTGAACCTAAGACCCACTATGTAAGTGTTTTTTTTTCCTATAGACTCTTAATGAGAGAAAGGGAATAAGCACTCATTAAATACCTACTTTGTGCTAGGCACTATACTAATTACTTTACAAACATCATTTCATTTAATCTTCCAACAATGCTGGAAAGTAGGCGCTACTTTTAACCCCATTTTACAGACGAGGAAACTGAGACAGACAAAAACTAAGTGACTTGCTCATGGACATATAACCAGTATGTTTCTGAGGCTAGATTTGAACCCAGGTCTTCCTGACTCCAGGTCCAGTGCTCTATCCACTTTGCTCCCTAGATGCAAAAATCCAAAAACTGTTCAACCTCTTTGTGAGGCAGCTAGATGGTACAGCAGACAGAGCTTGGAGTCAGGAAGATTTGCCTTCCTGATTTCCAGTCTGGCCTCAGACCAGATTCACTAGCTGTGTCCTGGACCCTGTCTGCCTTAGTTTCCTCATCTGTAAAATGAGCTGGAGAAACAAATGGCAACCCACTCCACTGTCTTTGCCAAGAAAACCTCAAATGGAGTCACAGAACAAACTGAGCAACAGTAGTATCATATTTTTTACTGTTGATATCAACTTGATTTTAACGTAGGTCAATATGGCAAATAAGCACATATATGATAAACACGTCTTTTTGAGATAGAAATTTCCCTGCCATGTTGCAGATAAGTGAAAGTTAAATGACCAGTCTAACCTCATTAGTCTCCATTAGGCCAATCCACTACTCACTGACAGATCACAATGGCAGGCAACTCAAAAACAACATGGTGCAGTGGAAAGACCACTGGATTTGGCCAGACAGAGCGCCTAGATTGGAATCTGCCCTCTCACTTTCTTTCTATGTGATCTTGGACAAGTGCATCACCCAGAAACTTAGGCCTCGGTGGAATCAATTCCAGCACTTTATGAAAGGACAGGCAGTTGTGGGGAAAAAATAAACTCAATGAACATGTTTAGCAGGATAACTCACATCCTTTTTTATGTCAGATGGGTAGAATCAATTCCAGAGGTTAGAAATGATGGTTTCATTTATGGAGAAGCGAAG